TCTGTGTTAAGAAGTGCATGACGTACAATTTCAGGATCTGAAGTATAAAACAGTAACATTAGCGGACCTCACTTTGGCTGAAATGAAATATTTGATCAAAGAATACAAAAAGTTACTGGGCAATGGAGTTTATGGTAAACCCTTTTGATGCGTTTCCCCAAATCCCAAAAACTTCCATTCCCTATATGGACTGAGTTTCAGCTGTTTTCTACTTTGTGGGACATGGCTTCGAGGTCAATGGACAGTGTTATCTTCTTCCTGTAGACGCACCATCTGAAGCACACAAACCGGAGCATTGTCTATCTATGGATTACGTCCTCTATGAGTTCAGTGATCACAACCCAGCCCTCAATCTTCTTCTTTTAGACGTGTGCAGAAAGTTCATTCCGTAAGTTCTGAGTCCTAATCGGATAGCATGTAAAACCTACTTCATATAGTTCAGGTATGAGTTTGTGCCTGCCTTTGTTGACTATGCGGAGCCTTTTAAGATGAAGCACAAACCATCTCGAAACACCGTTTATGGATATTCTACAAGTGGTGGAGTGGGAGCTTATGAAGTATGTCTGTCTTCTTATAAGCCCTTAAACGTTCTGCTGATGTGAAATTTTGTTCAGATAAAAGGTGAGATGAATGGTGTTTTCATGAAATACCTCAAAACGCACATATATCAGAAGGTTTCCGTCATTCAGATGCTGAACGACACTTCACGAGGTTCGTTTATTTCCAACTTTACCACACCGCTTATTCGTTGCTCGAAAGAATCTGACAGGTTGTAGCAATGGAATTACCGAAGTGTAGGTGCAACAGTGAGCTTTCCAGATATTGAGAAAGACGAGAAAGTATGTGATGTGCAAGTTCCTGAACTGCGCTCAACGTTGACTAGACCGCGTTCTCTGACCGATCCGCTAGTCTGGGATGGGCACACGGCATCGTTCGATCATCATACCATTCACTGGAGACTCATGCATGGTAGATCTTGAAGCATAATCTTTTTCGAGTGTCTTTAGCTCCTTTTCAGAGCTGCCAAATCCTGTCTATGTACGATTCGAGGAACTGGCGCTTTCTGTTACAATATGGTTCGATTTTTGTGGGCATTTCACGAACAAGGTGAGGAATCAAGCTACTGTATGCTCGTGTTTTCCGGTCTTATTCACTTCTTTGTGAGTTATAAACTTCAGGTAAGTTAAAAGGATTTTAGTGGTGTTTGCGAGGAGTGACTTTTCGGGAATTTTTCCACAGTCCGCTAGGAACTCTTATGAGCGGGGCTGTAAAAATGGTGATCATCGAAGAGGAAATTCGTTCTTCCTGCAGTTGGCCAATACTGAAAGAATGAACTTCTGTCTTATTATCTAAGTTGTGAATACACCTGGCTCCGTGTTGGCCGCGCTGGCGCGACGAGCCATCGATTCTGTTGAACCGTTCCCCAATACACCTTCGTCAGAAGGATCCCGACCGTAATCAAGACTGATCTCCTCAAGAGCGGATTATTTCAGCGGCACAAAGCCGCTTGCTTTTAGTCTTACGATTAGCCAGAAGGAGGACAGCTCCTTAGTGACAGCTAACAATGAGTGGCTTTGTTCGCTGAAGCTGTGGATGGTTATCGTTCAACAGAGCATGTCGGAATTTGCTGTTTGACGTGAATTTGATTAGAATTTTAGTCATTCATCTGGCGCAGTTCTCGAAAGGCGCTGGTAAAATTGCGACAGACGCAACCTACTCAATTATAAAATTCATTTTTCAGTGTTTCTCTCATTGGCTTGAATTATTGATGACATGGCGGCTAATAGCGCATGGGAAAAGCCTTGGTGTCCTTTGAAAAGCAAAGACAACGGTCAGAAAAGGCTCTTTAAGGAAAGAGAAGATATTTTTTGCCATCTGGTGTTTCTGTGTAAGAACGATGCGCAAAAGTAAAGGTACCGCTCGTATTTAGTTTCATGCCACGGGGCCACACCTCCCACAAGTAGCTAAGTTTCCTGGAAAGCTTGAAGGCACACCCTATTATGAGTTTGGGTGGAACAATCCGGTTGTTGGATAGGACAGAGGTGCTCAGTAATGTCGCTGATGTCTCCCTGTCCCAGTTAGCTTGGAACAGCTGTGCCATCTCATCCGTTGTGCACACTCACATATCCTCACTTCTCCTTGCTCGCTTCTCTTTGCTGTAGTACAGCCGAATCACAATTTTGTTGTTTCCGATAGACGACACTTTTTCTTCTTCACTACCGGTCCACTTCGCATCACTGTTTTCATTTTCATCTGTGCGAACGGTACCGTCACGTAATGGAAAGGGGTCGGCAGAGCGATTTCAGCTCCAAACAGCGCCCCCTCTCCTCCCCCACTATTTTTCGCCAATGCTTCACCTTCGAAGAGGGAGAGGCATGTTCGTACTCGTTTTTTTTGACATAGCCGTATAGGTTGCTACCTTTCGACCCTTCACTCATCTTTAACCGTAAGTGCTAGTTTTTTTTTTTTTTGACATAGCCGTATAGGTTGCTACCTTTCGACCCTTCACTCATCTTTAACCGTAAGTGCTAGAGCTGCTACGTCGCAATCAACACGCGTAGGCGCGGCTGTTCTTGCTTTGGGCGGGAAGGGTTGCACCGGGAAGTCAATGGTTGCAAGCCCAATGTCTACAGACTATTTGAACTGCCCCCAATCGTCTTCAAACCGCCTCAATTTCATGCTCTTGCCTGCGCTCTTCGTATTAACAGCGGCCTATGACTACGGCAATTTCACTTTAAAATTGCCATGCTGTAATTGGCTCACCCATACCGATGTCCTCCCCTTCAAAGGTTTGGTCTTAGGGCTCTCACCGTCCTCCATGTATTAGGTCGTAAGGAAAGTTCTGGCCGTTTTCGATAATTCAAGCTCCATGGCATTATTTCTGGCTAGGGTTTCGACGGACTGCTACGTGTTACATATCGTTAGGAAGCACGTTTCTTGCTCTATCTAATCGCACTGCAAGCTTTGCTTTAGAGGGACTACTCCCACTTATTCGAAACATTAAATGCAACATGCTCAGTTTCACCTTTGCGAAATTTTGTTGACCATAGTCATGACCGAACAACTCATCCGAAGTTCATGGGTTATTGAGAAGACTCCATTCTACAAGGGGAGTCACGATCCGGACAAAAAACGGGTCGTTTTCGTTGGAGGAAAGATTGCAGAAGAAAGGCAGATGGTCCCACGGAACCGCGATTTTTCGCAACACCCTCCTTATCGACGTTCCCGTGCTTCTTAAGCTATCCCATGTAACTTGAAACCATAAATTGAATGCGCCCAATTTGGTAGCGGTCTTCTTAATTGTTTGAAGCACATTTGATCCCATCAAAAGTTTCACGTAATTTTTACCGAAGTTCGAAATCCAGCGATCACTATCGCCAATTTCGAGGCTATCGCCATCCCTATACAAGCTCTCCAAACTATAACTTCATGGCTTATTTTTTGCAAATGCATGGCCAAACGAATAATTTATATCATAAGCTGATTCCGCTTCTTTCTGCCCTAATTCGAGGTAGAAGAAGAAAATCGTGAGGATTGGCTTGGTGAGCATGCTGCATTCAAGGCTTTCAAAAAGTGGGACCAGTCCCTATTGAGCAAAGCTTACCGCGGATTTGGATAGAGCAAGAAACGCACTTTCTAATGATATGCAACTCGCAGCAGTCTGCCGGAAAGTTTGCTAGAAATAATGTCATGAAACTTGTACTGTCGAAAACGGCCAGAACTTTCCTTACAACCTAATAGTTTGGATCTGAGCCTAGTGTCGTTCTATTGTGTTTTTGTGCTCAGGCTATTCGCGGCAGAGGTCATAAACGAGAGTTCATATAGTCACGAAACCTCCCCGCGCATTTTAAACTTCGAAAATGGCAAACCTCTCCACATCGGACCGCTCTCACTTGCGGCATGCTTTCTCAGGAGCTTAATCTTGGGGCTTCCTCCATGAGGAACTCTGTGGTGGGTGAGCCATTTACAGTGTGGCAAATCTGAATATGTGGGACCGCAGCAGTTACAAGCCACTGTTGAGGCGAGAGAGCGTAGGCGGTAGCACCAAACTTAGGCTGTTCAAGGGGCTGAGTTCAAGTAGTCTGTCGACCACTATAGGGCCTACCCAGAGAATTTTGGAAGGTGGAAGCTAAAGGAAAACAGAATATGTAGTTCTATTGGAATGTGGCTGTGGTGTAAGAGTAGGAAGCTTTCAGTAGGAATTCTCAGGCGGAAATTTCAGGAGAAAAACCTGCTATCGTGATTTCCTTTATTTTGTTACATTTTGAACCGTATTTTTAGCGATCAAACATATCTTGATCGTCTAGGTGTACGTATTCTCGTCAGTGAGCGATTTACTGGACGAAGCTTCAGAGGAACTTGATAGGAAGCTGTCTGAAAACGCCCTGTCGCACATCGCTTATCTTTCGTTTCCGCCGGTAATGTTTTAGCGGTGATATCAGGACTAGGTGTAGCTCAGTGTGCATTTCGTCATGTCGGAAATTTTCAGCAGCTCGATGCTTCAAAAGAGCGTATTGTTTCCGACGACGACGAGGGAGTTTCGTTGTGTCTCCTCCTTTCTCACCTCCAGCGATCCAAAGTGAGAAACTTTGCTGCCATAAGCACGAGATCAATCCCTTACATATTTATTTATGCGTGCCATGTGCATGAAAAGCAGTTGTGTAATATTTTTTGAAATTCTACGTTTTAAGGGTGAGCTGAACTGCAGAATACTTCTAACGAGTGCGGCTGACAAGCAGAAAGTTGTCGCAATACGTGATGTTGTGCTTGGACATGTGCTCATTACAAGAATAGAGATGATCAAATGATGCTTCGAAAGACAGTGGTCGTCTTCTTCGACAAGTGACATCAGTGACTTGCCGACACCGAGTTGAAGCTGCCGACGCTGTTTCTCTTGGTCTCATGAGATGTCCTTCTCCGTGGATTCACTTTGCACTGCGCTGCAAATACATGTATTCAGTGCCTGAAGATGGTATGAGAACTGGGAAATTTGAGAAATAGAATCTCATAGCCTTAGATATGTACATATTTTATAGAGCAAGCGCTCGTTTGGAAGAGTTGGTGTACTTTGTAGTTTTTGAATTTGACTTGTTTGATGTGGATGTGGTTGAAGTATGTCCCACATGTTGGACGTTTTCAGTTTGTTAACATTTTCATTTCATTTCAAGTGGTGAATTGACAAAGCTTTTTATGCAGTTTAATCCGATTGAGAATCGTTTCACAAGCAACAGTGTTGAGCTGTGTTTGCCAACCAAAACAAACAAATGTGGAGCGTTGGCAGGTGTTCGCTTCCGCATGGAGGACTGGCGATGCAGAGCAACGCCTCTCTGTGAGCCCAAATCTGTCAGTGAAAGGCATGGAAACGCCGATGAGATCTTGATAACTCAAATGGGAGGGAAGGCTACGGCTAATGAAAGACGTTGAAAGCTTGAAATGCAAATGGTTGGTGTGCTCTTCAGCAGGAAGGGTTACTGGGGAGGCTCGCTTGTGGAAAAAATGTTTTTCTCTCTGCCCACTTGATCCTGGCTCCCTGCTGTTGTGCCAGCTAACTTCGTATAGGTGGCATCGCTCAGTATAATAGCACTATTTGCTTTGGGTGCTGCAGTTTCGCAAGTTTTGTTCCGGAGAATCTAGAAGGATTTGGAAGGTGACATGGTCCACAATACTACCGCGCCGGACGACCCATTAGCGCGTCTGCTAACTCCGTCCCGATTGTGATCGCTCAAGTTTCGGGCCTCAAGGCAGAGCGTCGGGTGCGTCGCAGATCCAAGGGCCGGGCGCCATGCTACACCCAGTCTAAGGCTGGCGACACCATTGACCAGTCCGATGGCGCGTGCACCACTCAACCTATCAAGGAAGACCGAAGGAAGAAGTGTCAGGACGGTAATGTAAAATTAAAGAGCAACCACGCGAATATGAACTGCGACTTGTGACGTGAATTCGTGTCGCTGCTTTAGGCAACTATAAAAACAGAGAGAGTTGACGAACGGGAAGTGGGGTAGGGGAGGCCATATGTCCGAAATTGTTTGCCCTCGACCTGGCGCGATCCCTGTTTAAGCCAGGGACACTAAACATGGGGTTGTCGCTGTAACTGTGGCTCAATTGATGGTTATGATAACTGCGGCGACTCTTGTACGGAAAGCACATTTCAGCTGAGCGCTGTTTCAGCTCCGAAATCATGCTGCGCATCTCGCCGCCTTAGCGAGGCATCCTGGCTGCTCTGCACTCGTTGCACAACGCGTGTTCGCGTTCGCGCTCTCCATCTGCCCCTATGTGCGTTTGCTGATCTCTTTGGCTTTGCCTGGAAGCCTGTGGCCCACAATTTTGTCGTAACTGCACTGTACACTGTTGGCAGACACAGGACGCCACTTGACTTGGGGGGGGAGGTCGCGGAGTGTCTGGACCGCTGTTTTTTTTAACTAGCGATCAAAATTGAAGGCAATTGAACGACCATGCGCTGGAAGCGCGGAGCGTTCTTGGTGGCGTCATTGCGGAGAGCGGGGGAGGGCATGCGAGAGGTCCCTTAATCGCATTTCCCGCTTCCCTTCCCCTACTCAGGGCACTGAGGGCTTTTTTTATCAGTGACGTCCGCAAAACCGCTCCGCTGTCCAGCCATCGTGTTCATTGCCTTGAAGATCATTATATGCATGCATTTTTCAAGCGGAATGGCCATCATCTTTAAGCGGTGAATGTGCCTTGAGATTCAATTTACAAGAGGTCATGAACGAACATGCCTAGGGAAATACTCGACCATCTGTGGCCAGCCACAACCCTTAAGATTTCAATCGAGATAGTTAGGTTGTCCTCCATAAAAGAGTGTGGCGGGCAGTTTTTTTTCAACGGAACTTTATTCTTTGTGAAGCCTCTAAATGTTCTCTACAAATATGTTTGCATATACCGGTCATTCACATATTGGAAAACTAGTGAGTCTTCCTCTTACAAAGCAGGGGAGTTATGTACGCCGGGCTTTTTTTGATTGTTGCAAATTGTTTGAGTTTTAGGCATGCAAAGTGGGAGCTTCAGACGACGAATTTTCGCCAAACCGACAGCTGACCTAAACTTTATACTTCCCTAGAAGAAATCAATCAATAATGTAACTATAACTTACTCATAACCTCTACTAAACATTGCCACACATTTTATGGTCCCTGAAAAGCTTGGTCTCCGTTTACAATTTGTGAGATCAAATCTATTTCGGCCGCTGGCACTGGTGGTTGCCACTGCCGGCTTTTGTGGCTAGCTGCGACTCCTTACGGTTGAAGGTGAAACAGCAGAAGGTGCCGAGTGTTGCTTTGTCGACTTGGACATACACATACATTTTCTACTTGAACTGAAACTCCGACCGTAGCGATGTCGAAGATCAAAAACCATAATCTGGGCAATGCGGTTATGTAGAGCAGACAAGAATCACGCTTATCAAGGTAGTATAAAAGCCTCGCGGTCAAATACTGAGAATCGGAAAAATGAAGAATTCCACTTTGAAAACGAAGCTCTATCGGCTTGCACAGGCGCTCCACCCAAGCTTGCAGCTAATACACCCCCAAATTCCTCCCAAAAATATAAAGCTGAAACAAAGCTTTTAAGGGTACCTAAAATGTGGAATATTTATAGAGGCTTATGAGTTATGTATAGTTAACATTCTATTGATTGATCTTCCTCTCAGGGAAGTACACTCTGTTTCATTAGTTGCGGGACGCCGCAGAAATATCACCACAAGTAGGCAACAAGTTCTGCTTTGGAAATAAGGATATCTCGATGAAACAGGTGACATCAACCATGTGCTTAAAGAATGTCTGTGACATCGATGCCACGTAAAATGTCCACGGTCGCAAGTCATGCTGGTACGAAGGAATATTTCGAGGGGTTGACGCAATGGTTCCTGGTCAACGGTTATATGCGTAGGGATCGATGATCTAAACGTAAGAAAGATTTTAACGAGAGATGATATCCAGCTGGCTAAAACGGTTTTCTGTGCAAAGAATTTCTCGTATCGTTTGATCATTCGTGACCTAACAAACCACTGTGGGCAAGGGCCGAGAGCGAGAAACAATTTGGCAACAGATTATCAACAAAAGTGGTGAGCGATAATAGCCTATCTTGTAGAGAGAGATAATAATGTCCTAATACCGAAATAGGGTATCATCGGCGGAATGAAGACATTAGTAGAAGGACATTAAAGAGGCCTTACACAAATAACAGAATGTTCGCGTTTGAAAAAAAGAAATGCGGCCACTGGACTTACTAAATGAGACAACCTCAATAAGAGAGACTTATAGCCCGCGTAAGCAGGAGCGATGGTTAGAGTTTTTGTATCTAGAGATTTACGAACGATCTTTGATGCTCTTCCTGACGCAGAAGATGTTTCAGGGGTCCCAAAGGCTTTTCCAAAACGTACTTTTTGAGTGGGATATAGGACGGCAAAGACGTGTACGAGAAAAAGAGCCACGAGGAAACGAATAGATACATATTTTCTCTAAGAGAGACGGCCTCTCGAATACGCAAAAAGGGGGTATCCAAGGGATGCGGTAAAATCGATCCTCTGTGGTAACATCAACTTATGCATCTTCGTGTTGAGGTGGTTACGAGCGCTGATTATGAATACGGGCATCATGTGTTCCTGCTAATCCATTGCGCTAAATTTGTAACGGCGTCAAGACGCAATGCATAAGTTTAGGTAAAACACCCAATAAAGGAGATGCTGAACCAGGTGAAGGCTCCGCGTTCTTTTGTTATTTGGGACAGAGAAGGACCGTTGAGGAGCAAAAAATCAAACCATGGTTCTGCTGATTGCTCGCACAACTAAAAAAAAACATGTGCCCCTTGTGTCATGCTAAAGACCGTTTCGAAGAAGGTTGGCACCTCCTGAAGACCTGGCTGGTGAGTGATTGCTGTGAAGTAAAATCTCACTTGTAAGGTGTCTCCTCCATGACTCTTCATTGTCTGGCAATATAAGCGCTGAACAAAGCGGGCATTTCGCTGCATAGGCTCCAGCGGCTGTAAATAAAATAAAGTATTTCATTGAAACTAATCATTTTTACTCAACAACTTGTGATTTCACTCGAGCTCTCGTTCTAATGGAGAGAATTTTAACAACAAAGAAAAGTATTCTACTCACGGCGGCATTCCTTGCTGCCCACATGCCTGTGGAACAGCGGCCTTTCAATAGATTCTCCACAACGAGGGCAGGTTCGATAGTTATCATGAGCACGACAGTCACTTCTTTTATGACTGGCCATGGCGCTTAGCAAGACCACCTAAAAAAGAATGCATATTCCGATGAACACGAGCCTTTTTGTCGTCATATAAAAGAACTCATCTGGTTGCAGCCATCACATTTCGAGAACAAAGGGCATTTAATTCGGCAGTGTTTTTCATAGCCATTGCTGTTTGGTGGCTCAACGGTGGCTCCGCAGTGTGGACACGAACTGAACTGATTAAATTCAAGCAGGCGGATGTAATATGAGACGAAATGACGGCCTTACTTCAAAACATCTTCGTTTCGTCTTGGCAAATCGTCCGAAATGCGGACCGATTTGGTGCTTGACGATTTACTTGGTGTGGAAGATTGGCTGGTGCCAGAGCTTCTTCTAGAACAAACATGATTTTATCGTTGTCATGATGCCTGTTTGAAGGCAATGCCCAGAGTCAAATTCATGCGGTAATACCATTCGTCCCATGTAAAAGCGTGAAAGCGGCGGTGGGAAGTGGACCGCAAGTGGAGAAAAACGTGAAAGAAATCATCTAAACGCAGAAAATACAACCTTGTTGCTCTATGCAGTGAAGAAGCATAAGTCTAGCAAAGCGAGATAAGAGATAATATCAGTCGCGGAGAGGGAAAAGAAGTCTCAGTCAGAGAGCACAGCAGGTCGTACGACACAGACAAGATCTCGAACGACGAGCAGACCCTGATCCTTCTGTTTGGGCGATGATCCATGTGCTAGGCGCCTGGTCGTAAGGTCGTGCCACCATCGCACCTATAAACGCGTTCCTAGGTGCGACGGTGGCACGGCCCATGCCGCTACGTAGCCCGGACCTATCTTCAAAAGCGCATCCCACAATCCAATTTTAGCAGTTCTCTACACGAACATGAAAGCACAATTGTGAAGGGGACATTCGGGCAAATCCATAAGACGAAGATAGCCGACGAAACCTGAATGGACAGCCAAAAGAGCAAAACGATGGGAGAGCAGAAGCCTCGTTACGTGAGCCGTCGCACTTCGATAACACGGCGTAAGCACCTTAGTCATTTGACAAGTTCTTAGTGCCGGCCAGGCGCACTTTCGAGCCCTTGCGACCATTGTGGACAGCTGGAAGCTGTCTAACACGTTGAAAGGATTGATCCACCCGAGTTTATGCTAGAATGTGCCTTTGAGGGAGCTTCAAGAAAATCTATTAGGTCGCAACGAAAGTAATGGCGGATTCGACCCTCAATTTCAAAAACTCGTATCTTTCTTTGAATTGAACTTTATTCCTAATAATAATTCCCACAAGCACTTACACCAGTCCGCCATCGGTCGACAAGGAAACAAATGCCTCTCCTTCAAAATTCGGCAGGCTTCGAGTCGAAGAAGTGCCCATGTCCGCTTTCAACTATTGAAAGTTGTCGTAGTTTTTTATCCTTTGAGAAGTGAGCCAGGGAAAGGAGTGGGTGGTAATCCGTAGGCGCAAGACCTGGCGAATATGGAGGATGGGGTAAAACCGCAGATCCAAGTTCCGCCAATGTGTCCTGGGTTACCCTTGCAACATGGGGTCACGCGTTGTCATGAAGAAGAAAAACTTCGTCCATCTCAGGGCGAAGTTTCGCGACTTCAACTGCGAGCCTTCGTGGTTGTGAGCAGTACACCTCGGCGTCGACGATGGTATTGTCTGGCATCTCGTAATGACGTGTTCCCCGAACTCTCCACCAAACTGACAGAGGAACTTTCTTGGGATGAACCTCCTGCTTTGGAACAGGCTCTGGCTTCTGGTTCGCACCCATTCACTGTCTTCTTCTGGTATGACATAGGTAGAGCCCCCACCTTTCATCTCCAGTAATTACATTATCCAACCAGTCGAAACGGCGACTCCTTGCAAGAAAACCTCCGCACACCCCGATACCTCTTTTCTTGCAATGCTCTGTCAGCTCATGAGGGATCAATCGACCAAGTTTCTCAACTTTTTCCAGCATGTGATGAACACGACCTGTGGCCATGTTGAAGCAGTGCATCTCCTTTGCCAGCTCCATGGCGCTTGCATGCGGAAAGTCTTGAAGTAACAGCTCCAAACGTTCGAAATTAACTTTCGTTGGGCGTCCATCTTCGAGGTTGTAGTTTCCTTCGCGGAGCCTTCTGAACCAAAGTTGGCAGGTTTTTTCACTTACCACTCCCCCTACTTCCACAGAGCATATTTTGCGGCAGGCTTCGCTCGCTGTGTGTCCCATACAAAATTCGCAAAGAAGTCAGTGGCGTACATGGGTAGAAACTTATGGCATTTTCCAGGCTCCAAAAGGCCTGCAGGAGGTGAGACTCGGAAATATGA